AGATCGCTCGAGGTCAGGAGTCGAGGACCTGCCTGGAGCAAGGGCCGAGACCCCGTCTCTTACTATAATAGAAAGAAATTAATTGCCCAACTAAAATATATATATATATAATATAATTAACATATACATATTAATTATACTATACATACACTATGATTAGCCGGCACGGATGGCACATGCCGTAGTCCCATACTCGGGAGGGCTGAGACAGGAGGATCGTTTTGAGCCCAGGAATCAGAGGTCTGCTGGTTTGAGCGAGGCTGGACGCCACGGCACTCACTCTAAGCCTGGGCGACAGAGCAAGACTCTGTCTCAAAAAAATAAACATTTAAATAATTCCTAGCACTCTGGGAGGCTGAGGTGGGCAGATTTGCTTGAGGTCAGAGTTCGAGACCAGCTAAGCAAGAGCGAGACCCCGTCTCTACTATAAATAAAAGATATTAATTGGCCCAAACTAAAAATATTATCTATATAGAAAAAAATGGAGGACAGGATGGTGCACATTGCATGTAGTCCCAGCTACTCGGAGAGGCTGAGGGCAGGAGGACGCTTGGATGCCAGGACGTTGGAGGTTGCTGGTGAGAAAAGGCTGACGCCCCACGGCAATTAGCCAGGGCAACAGAGTGAGACTTTGTACAAGAAAGGAAAGAAAGAGCGAGAGGCAGGAGAAGAAGAAAGAAAGGAAGAAGAAAGAAAAAAAAGACAAAGAAAGAAAGAAAGAAGAAAGAGAAAGAAGAAGGAAAAGAAAGAAGGAAGGAAGAAAGGAGAAGGGAGGAAGGAGAGTAAGAAGAAGAGAAAGAAAGAAAGAAAGTCAGAGAAGAAGAAGAAAGAAAGAAGAAAAGAAAAGAGAAAGAGAAAAAGAAGGAAAGAAAGAAGGAAGGAAAGGAGGAAGGGAGGGAGGGAAGAAAGAAAGAGAGAGAAAGAAAGAAAGAAAGAAAGAAAGAAAGAAAAAGAAAGAAAAGAAAGAAAGAAGAGAAGATAAGAAGAAAGAGGATAGGAAAGAAAGAAGAAAAGAAGGAAGAAAGAGGAAGGGAGGAGTAAGGAAAGGGAGGGAGAAAGAAAGAGAGAGAAAGAAAGAAAGAAAGAAGAAAAGAAAGAAGAGAGAAGAAAGAAAGAGAAGAAGGAAAGAAAGAAGGAAGGGAAAGAGGAAGGAGGGAGGAAGAAAGAAAAGAGAGAGAAAGAAAGAAAGAAAGTAGAAGAAGAAAGAAAGAAAGGAAGGAAGGAAAGGAGGAAGAAGAGAAGAAGGAAGGAAAGAAGGAAGGAAGGAAGGAAAGAAAGAAAGATAGAATACTCCTATGAAATAGGAACAAAAAATAATAAAATGACAAAGGGTATCACAAGGGCATATATAGTTGCAACAGTTGAACACAACATTTATTGAACATGGAATTGGAGAGATATAGAGCTGGACAAAAAAACTTTAGAGCATTGAAAAAATCTTTTTATTATATAAAATTTTATGCGTATCCAAAAACAGAGCAGTGCCATGAACCCATAGCGCAGGTTTAGCGCCGATTAATCTGCGCCCGATCCATACCCCTTCAGCACGCCCTGCCGTCTCTTCACGCTACTATTTTCAAGCAAACTGCAAACCTAAAATTATTTTATCTGTGAATCTCACTGGTGAGGAAGCAGGTGGCTTGTTGTCGTGGGCAGCAGAGGGTGTTAGAACTCCCCACGACCAGGACTGGAGACTGGGGGATTAGATGGAGCCAGCCACATACCTGCGGTCCCGAGGGGCAGGAGAAGAGAGGATGGGGTTGAACTCAGACACAGAACTGCTAACGTGAAGGTCAAACTGTAGAGATTTATTTATGTAAAAATGTGAAATGGGAGAGTTATGGTAGACACAAAGATGAGATCAATTTTATCTTTGATCTTTAAAAATAAATAGCTTAATATAACTAAACAGAGTTACAGGTATGTATAACCTGGTTTCTTTCTTTCTTTCTTTCTTTTTTTTTTTTCTTGAGCCAGAGTCTCACTCTGTCGCTCGGGCTAGAGTGAGTGCCGTGGCGTCAGCCTCGCTCACAGCAACCTCCAACTCCTGGGCTCAAGCGATCCTCCTGCCTCAGCCCTCCCGAGTACTGGGACTACAGGCATGGCACCGCCATGCCCGGCTGATTTTTTCTATATATTTTTAGTTGGCCAATTAATTTCTTTCCATTTTTAGTAGGACGGGGTCTCGCTCTTGCTCAGGCTGGTCTGAACCCCTGACCTTGAGTGATCCTCCCACCTCGGCCTCCCAGAGTGCTAGGATGACCAGGCGTGAGCCACGGAACCTGTTGATTCGGTAAACAGATCAAGTAAGATAGTTCCTTTTCTACTATCTTCTTAAAAAAAACAAAAACAAAAGTAACCGTTGGCATACCTGAGACACAAAGCAGAGAACTATTTTAAGAAATGTTTTCTTTTTTGTTAAATTTTTGAAAATATTTTCCATGAATTACATCCCGCTGGGGGGAAAAAAGAAAAATGTTTTCTGTTCTCACTGATTATCAGTCTCTTTGCTTTCGTAAGCTCAAAGGAGCAAAGATATAGCATCTAATTACTATTCTACATAGTGCAGGCAGCTTTCATAGTCCATCAATTATTGAAGAACAATTTACAAAGCCGTGAATAACTCACGCAAACAGTGTTTCATGAGCAGAAGAAGAATGTCAGGTTGCCTTGGTGACTGTCAGCACAGAGCATTTTGTTTTTTTTCTTATTTAGAACGTTCAACCAAACTGTGGGGACGTTTGAGGAGCTCCAAAAATACCTGGAAGGGTATGTGGCCAATCTGAACCGAGATGATGAAAAGAGGCATGCAAAGTAAGTGGAGGAATGTTTTTCCTAAGTTGGGCGTGACTTTTAGCAGCGGATAAAGGAGGAGTCTAAGGGGTGTAATTGAGGCGTGGAGATTTTTAATATGCCTTCGCTGGGAAAATTCTGGACAGCCCTTTTCTTATTTGTTTGTTTTTCCCATTACACATACCTTTATTGTTTCGGTACCCTGCATTTCTCTTTAACTGTTGCATAAAGTAATTTACTATTTTTTTTTTTTTATTGTAATGCACATGTTCAGCCTGCGGTCTCATGTCTAGCAGCTCGTGAATAATTTCTTATACTGATTGCATGCTGCGATGATAATCTTTTAATTTATTTTTTTGTTGTTCTTCTACAAAGACAACACCACTTACCCCTAAACACGGGTATTATTTAAGTCTATAAGTAGTCAACTCCTTTATTTTGGGGGGATGCTTGAGAATATTAGGGATACATTTCCTGTTGGGGGCTTTAGGACAGGAGTTTTTGTTTGTTTGTTTGTTTTTTTACATTGTCTTGTGACTTAGCTCAAGAGGACATTAATATCTGATTACAGGTAAAACAGCAGGGTTATAATTTTTTTCAAAATATAAAGGAGCTTTTGCCCAGGGGTGTGGTTGGGTGTGTGTTTGTTTAGAGGAGAGGACTGGGTAGGGTTCTAATTATAATAATAGTGATGAAAAAAAATTTTTTTTTATTTACTAGAAAACTCTACTTTGTTAACTGAAAACTATTAAGATTTTTTTTTTTAGAGTGAATGATTAAGCATCTATATTTTCGACAGATAGTGCTATCAATGCTGTACGGTCAAAATTTCTGGAAAACTGAGTTAGAATGTTCCATCAGTACTTCACAAGTTTTTGCAAACTTGCATTTTTTATGCCGAAGGCCTTTATTTTGTGTGTGTGGGGGTAACAATATATGAATACATAACCCAGGGCAGTCAACCTTCATTAACAGAGAAAAAAAGGGATATTTCCAGACAACAATACTTAGAGAGTAAGAAATCTGCTTTTCATATCTCAGAAAGCAGTTATTTTGGCTCACTCATGGGAAGAAAGCTTCAAGATCTGACACAAGTAGCAAAACGTGGCAAAGATTCTCAGCGTGGCATTTTCCTATATGTGCAGCAAAGGAAATGCCTCTCTGGTTTTGTTCCCCTTCATTGATTTTTTTTTTTTTGATTGTTCCTAATGACTTTATTTAAGTGCATTTTAAATATCACAAAATTCAGCCATTTTACCTTTGACTTATTCAGTTTGACATCTGTCTGTTTCTTGGGGGTGTGTGTGTGTGTAAATTTAATGTTTGTATACTTTTTTTTCTCCCTGATTATGCCTGAATCTCAATCCTATCGAAGTTGAGCTAGCTTCTGTGGCAGCTATAGATAACACCGTGTTTCCCCGAAAATAAGACAGGGTCTTCTATTTATTTTTCCTCAAGAAGACACCCTAGGGCTGATTTTCAGGGGATGTGTTATTTTGTTTTAAGTACGGTACAACCATCTGCATTGATTCAAATAGAGTGAAGTCGTCTTCTTCTGGAACATCATCCTCACTCTCCAGACCCCGAATCCCATCCTGAATGTCTTGTGACTCTTGTTTCCTTTAGAGCCACTGGCCCCGATCTCTCCTGTCGAGCACTAGAGCTCTCACGGGGCGGATGAGAAGGGCTGCTCATGTTCTTTCCCGCTCCGTGACGACACACATGGGTTGTGCAGATGCACCGCGCAGCCACGCCCATCACTAGGGCTGATTTTCATAGCCACGCCCATCACTAGGGCTGATTTTCATAGCCACGCCCCTCACCAGGACTGATTTTCATAGCCACTCCCACCACCAGGGCTGATTTCCATAGCCACGCCCATCACCAGGGCTGATTTTCATAGCCACGCCCATCACCAGGGCTGATTTTCACAGCCACGCCCATCACCAGGGCTGATTTTCACAGCCACGCCCATCACCGGGGCTGATTTTCACAGCCACGCCCACCACCAGGGCCGATTTTCGGGGTAGGGCTTCTATTGCGCACCTGCTCGGACATCCTGCCGGGGTGTCATTTTTCGGGGAGGTCTTATTTTCGGGGAAACACGGTAGCTGCGGGAAGAAAAGAAGTAAGACTGCCGCAAGAGTGGAATTTACGTATGTATGTGTGTGTGTGTGTGTGGCACGACGCCCGCTGGACCAAGGACACGCGTGTAAAATTTTCGCTTCTCTCTGTGCAGGCGGTCCATGTCTAACTGGAAACTGTCCAAAGTGCTCTCTCTGGAGATGATCGAGCTGAAGGAGAAAGTGGCGCGGTTCTCCTCATCCTCCCCCTTCCAGAACCTTGAGATTATCACAACACTGGGAGTTGGTGGGTTCGGAAGAGTTGAGCTTGTAAGGGGTTTACGTTTCAAGCATCTGAGACAAGCCTTTTGCCATTTTTTTTGTGTGTGTGCGTGCGTGCGTGCGTGTGTGCGTGTGTGTTCTATTCCAACATATCCTGTGGGACTATGTGAATCGCTATTGCTATCTTAACCCTTTGCACTCGCTCGCTCATTTTCTCTCTCGCTGCTACCCATGCAGACCGTCTCGAGCCACGCTGGACGCTCATCCGAGCGAGTGCAAAGGTGTTAAATGCTGCTTCCAGCTGAAATGGCGCAAATGCATCGTATGGTTGCGTGTCTGCGCTAGCGAGTAACCCGTGATAATTAGCTGGCACCTTAAAAGCTCCCTCCGTCCCATCCTTTGAGTCGGTTTAAACGGATGGTGGTTGCCAGGGAATGCGCCCAGGAAAGCAAGCAGCCCCTAAAGGAAACACGGGGAAAAATAAAAATGCATTTCCTGGCGACAGAAACGTGTGTTTGCATACGCTCACGACGCCTTAGATCTCGGGAAGCTGAAGAAAAGAGCGTGTCGGGCAGAGACGCTACAGAAACGACATCTTCAGCGTGACGGTGACCATCCTTCAAGACCTTGTCTGTATTTCGCTTTCATTATCCTGTTGTTGGGTTACTCACAAGCGTTTGTGGGAATGCACGAAAGGAAAAAAAAAAAAAAGAGGCATGCAAGCAAGGGACTGTTGGAAGAGCAGTCTTCCGTCCTGTTGATCGGGATGGCTGGGACCACACAGCCCGATATCCGTTGTGTCTTCCAAATCGCCACCCGGTAGCAGAAGTGTTCAGGTCGGATCAAGTAGAATAGAGATCTGCAGCCCTACTGTGTGCGGGTGGCTCCGAACCCCTCGGCAGTTTACCACGTCCTTCTTTGCCCGTCCGATTTTTAGGGAAACTCCCCGGACGTTAAGCGCAGGGACTCTATGTCGGCCCCCTCTGTCTGCTGGGCGGCCTTAGGCACCAGCAGATCTGAATTGCTGTCAGGGGACTTGGGACAGAGCCCTTCACACCCAATCCGTACTTCATCCCCGATGGATGGGGGAAAAAGTCCCTTAATTGGGAAACGAATATTTGTCATGTTCCTTATGCCACATGGAAGAAACAAGAATAAGATCCGTCTGCAGCGGTATTTTTCACCAGAGATTGTGGCAAAAGGATTGAATTAACAATGTCCAGATCAGTTTTTCTTTCTGTTTCATTTTTTTGAGACAGAGTCTCGCTTTGCTGCCCAGGCTAGAGTGAGTGCCGTGGCGTCAGCCTCGCTCACAGCAAAAAGAGATAGTCAAAGTAAAAACCTCCTTGAGGGAAATATGTTATCCTGGTTTTGCCGGACCTGAAATAATTTATGCTTGCGTGTTGAGCCAGCCAATTAACTGTTTTTCCCATGAAAACGTGGGAATTGATATTTGAATATAGACCACCCAACCCCGGAAGCATTTGAGTGCCAAAAAAGCCAAAAAATCAGTGGAAGAAAGTTGAGACCACATTTTATATTTTTGTGTGTGTGCATTTTTAACACATTTCAACATTTATAGGGCCACTGACTGCGACTCAGTTTTTTATTATTCTCTCTATTTCCATGACTTGACCTTAAACGGTCCCAGGAAGTCCTTCTAGAATTTTATGTGCAAAAACTAAATCCCTGGCACTTACTATGAAAAGAAACAGTTACTTTAAGTGTATTTACATGTGAGGGCTGTCCAGAAAGTATCAGTATCCAAGAAGTCTCATTGTTACAAAAATGTGAAACAAGTTACATGGCTGGATATTTTCCTGCCAGTCCTGCTACATCTAACACTTGTAAAATATTGCAGAAATCCTCAGTCCAAATCATGACACTGATATTTACAAGGAATACCGTCCCCTTTGCTTTCCTGAACTCACAAATCAAATGGTTGGCCCACAATGCAAGATCCTATCTATGTCTCGTGCTTGTTTATGTCTGTATCTATGTCTAGATCTTTTTATTTTTTAATTTTTTTTGAGACAGAGTCTCACTTTGTTGCCCGGGCTAGAGTGCCGTGGCTCACAGCAACCTCCAACTCCTGGGCTCAAGCGATCCTCCTGCCTCGCCTCCCCAGTAGCTGGGACTACAGGCATGCCCACCACGCCCAGTGATTTTTTCTATATATATATATATATTTTTAGTCATCCAATTAATTTCTTTCTATTTTTAGTAGAGACGGGGGTCTCGCTCTTGCTCAGGCTGTTTCGAACTCCTGACCTTGAGCGATCCTCCCTGCCTCGGCCTCCCAGAGTGCTGGGATGACAGGCGTGAGCCACCGCGCCCGGCTTTATGTCTAGATCTTTTTGGCTCTATTTCTGTTGTCCCTGTCGTTGCCTGTCTGTCTCTCTCTCTCTGCTGCTTCCCTCTTACACCTTGACACCTGAGTATAAACTCTCCTGCCCGGACTCAAAAGTCCAGGAAGCTGAGGTGTTTTTCACCAATATCTCCCAGCAAGGGCCTGGAAGCTTGGGAGGGCCTGGGAGTCATGTCAGAAATGTCTCTGGTGTCCGCAAAGAGGCTAGAGGACTTTTGGGGGACGGCAGAGCAGGCCCGCCAAGGTTTTCCCGGTTCCGACAGTCAGGGAAGCTGCAGGCATTTTGTGTAAGGCCATTTTCGATGAAGTTTGCCAAGAGCATTCCCAGTGTTTGCTATTCCAGGGGACAGTGGCCCCTGGGTCACCTTAAACGTGTCTCACAGCGCTGGGTGCCATGTGAGTGCACTCTCTGAGTGTCTTTTGGTTTATAACTAACAGGGGCAGGAAACTGATATAAGTAAGAGCTCTCAAGAAATAACTTACTTGACGCTTCATCCGTTGCTATGTGTATTTACCGAACATTAGGTCACATGCAATACTTCATTATCCAAGATGCCAAAGATCAGAGGGCACCCCTACATTATGAACCCCTAAGAAAGAAAGAAATGCTGCTATTTGCACTCTGACTCGTCCATCAATTCATTTGTAAGAGATGCCTCTGATCTCAGATATTTTAACCCTTTGCACTCGGATGCCCCGGTGTGACTCGACACGGTTTTAGCAAAAATTATAGAGATTAAAATTACTCTTTTTTTTTTTTTTTTTTTGAGACAGAGTCTCCTCTGTGCCCAGGCTAGAGTGAGTGCCGTGGCTCAGCCTCGCTCACAGCAACCTCCAACTCCTGGGCTCAAGCGATCCTCCTGCCTCCAGCCTCCTCCCGAGTAGCTGGACTACAGGCATGCGCCACCACCGCCTGGCTCATTTTTTTCTATATAATTAGTTGGCCATTAATTTCTTTCTATTTATAGTAGAGACGGGGTCTCGCTCTTGCTCAGGCTGGTTTGAACTCCTGACCTCGAGGATCCGCCCGCCTGGGCCTCCCAGAGTGCGAGGATGACGGGCGTGAGCCCATCGCCCCGGCCTAAAATTACTCTTGTATCAATATTTGAATATATATAAAAAAATCCAAATAAATAAGTTTGTATGAAAAGAAACTCCAGTTTTTTTATTCTATCGCCACGCTTTGTGAAATGTGGGGTATTTAAAAAATTAAATCCCGAGTAGAATAAAAGAATCGAGAAAAAAGCAAGCGAGTGCAAAGGGTTAATGGGAATATATATTTTACATGCAATGAAAGTATTTTGGTATTTATTTGAGTGATACGGCACTGAAAATGCTTTCTTTGGATTTTGTGATTGGTTTATCCTATATTAATGACTTAACTGTTTTCCCACTATACTTCTGGGATGAGTTCATTTCAGTGTTGCCTTCTTGTTTTTTGTTTTTGGTTTTGTTTTGATTTTTTTCAAAATCTTTTATCTGCTAAATGTAGAAAGTAGATCAAAGAGAGGAAACTCCCCAAAGTTAGGTTAGGAAGCTCACATGTAAAAAAGTGTGAACTCAAGATATGATCAGGCCGGGCGCGGTGGCTCACGCCTGTCATCCCAGCACTCTGGGAGGCCCAGGCGGGAGGATCGTTTGAGCTCAGGAGTTCGAGACCACAGCTGAGCAAGAGCAAGACCTCTGTCTCCTACTAAAAAATAGAAAGAAATGGATTGGCCAACTAAAAATATATGGAAAAAATGAGCCGGGCACGGTGGCGCATGCCTGAAGTTCCAGCTACTCGGAGCTGAGGCAGGAGGATTGCTTGAGCCCAGGAGTCTGAGGTTGCTGTGAGCGAGGCTGACACCACGGCACTCACTCTAGCCCAGGAAACAGAGTGAGACTCGGCCTCAAAAAAAAAAAAAAAAAAAGATATGATCAAGGAACTCAATGCTATAAGAAAGTTCTATATAACTCTTTTTCTCCAAGAGAATGGCCATGAACAATTGTCATTTACCTTCACTTCCAGCTGGGCATTTTAGTTTGATTTATTGCTAGGCAGCAAGATTTGTTC